GACTAGTGGAAATAATTTAAATATGAGTGTGAACGCGTGCAGAAGTAAGCACATGCTGCAAGACCAGCCACTTCATTCAACAACGCGAACATAAAGCGACTTGGGGATCTCATTTTGGCTGACGGAAGAGTTTCTTCTTACAGGCAATCATCGCCACACTGTTTAGACAATCGTCTGTAAATTGAAAAGATTTGATGTTCTGGTTGGCCAGAAAAATCATGATGATGCGTTGTTCCACCTTCTTTGTTACCTCAACTGCCGTCCTCTGGATTTTCAGCACATATAAAAAAGCACGAAACACGTAATTCTTAGTATGGGTTACCAACACTATGAAGACAAATTCTTCAAAAGAAATTATGAATCTACATATATTACTTCGCTGTTTATATGCAAAAGTCTAGGTCAAATTTGAACGACCATCGTATTCGCAGTCCAAATTTATTTCTGACCTCACTTGCCACCATCTTGATTTCAGCACATTTATTAAAGCAGGAAACACGCGATTGTGGGTATGGGTTAACAACTCTTTTAAGACAAATTCCTCCAAAAATTATTAATCTACATACCTCACTGACTTGTATAAACAAAAGTCCTAGTATACACTCGGGGGGTGTCTGGGATAGCATTGAGAGGAACGATTCACTCCTGGATTTGGTGGTGCAGTGCAGTGTCCCTGCAGGACGTACAGGGAACCTATAGGCCCCATAGGGTTCCGTTTGGGATCTATATGGTTCCCTATAGAATCTATAAGGTTACCTATAGGGCCGACAGAGTTCCATATGGGACCTATAAGGTTCCCTATAGAACCCAATGGGTTCCGTATAGGACCCGTAGGGCTGCCTATAAAACCTAAAGGGTTCCACATGGGGCCTATAGGATTCCCTATAGGACCTATAAGGTTCCGTTTGAAGTTCTCCTCTAGGCCGCTAAATGGAGGTGTGGGGTTCTCGCATTTCTCACAGTTCTAAAAAGTGCCCTCCCCTTATCCATGGAATCATCTCTCACAGGAAAATTTGGTACATCCCCATATATCTCGCCTTGCCACATTGTAGCAACAAAGAAACTTCGACATTTCCTCATATGTCATTCCCATATTCCAGATAGAATCGTGGAGTCCACGCCAGAAATATGCTCAAATTCCCCATGAGAATCACGTGCGAGAAAAAGTTAATTACATGCGACAGGAATTTCAGTAAAGAGATGGTGTTCGCAGGTTCTGTCTGCCACTTCATTAGGCCGAGGGAAGAATGATTCTCCTCTCTACCAAATGAGATGCATGCGCATTCCAGCGACACAAGTGGGCCTGGACAGTAAATTATGCAGGCCTAGGCAGTAATAGTATCAGAGAGGCAACTGTCCCAACCAAGGGAAAACCCCTATTCCTTAATTAATTTGCGCCAATATTAACCCCGGTGGCCATTCTCGTTGTAATGCCAGGGTTTCAAAACCCAGAAAGCCTTCCCGAATCCTATAGGTCAGGTGTCTTATATGACTCTATAGGGATCCTATAGGATCCTATAGGTTGTTCATGTTTCAAAAACCTATAGGAAAATTAATAAGTTTCCTATGGTCCAGGGATGGTCATAGGCTAGGTGGCGTTTCAAAATTCGGACCCCCCCTGTACCTTATTTAGTGCAGATTTATCCGATTTACTACTACAAACCCCCAAAGAAGTCAAAATTTGTGGGGGATATCGGGAACTTCACTAATCTTATCCACCAGATCCTCACCGCTGCCGACGGGTGGATGGACCTTTCCCTCGTAAGGGTTCTGTCGTGGGAAACATCGAGACTTATGCTATGAATCAAATAGGAATCTTCTGGTTAATGGATTGAATGAGTCTCAAGTGACTGAAACCCGGTCCCGAGTGCAACGCTAGGCGTCGTTTCACCTTCGAATTCATGTGGGAAAAACTCTCGGGACAATTTTCTACAAATTGTGCGGTGAATAGGAAACTCAAAATAATATTTCTATGGAGAAAGTAAGAAGTCGAGCGTTCAGGCGTAAGTCATGGCCTAAACCTAACCTAAACCTATAATTCTTATATTCGACAATTTGTACTGCATTGCTTGACACATGAGAATAGCTACATCGAGAGATATATGCATTATAATCCCCAAGTGGCACTTACACGTACATCGGATCGTGCGTATGCCACTTTCTCGGACAAGAAACTCCTGAAGCTAGTCAAAAAGTTTTCTCCTCGTTTAAAAGGTAATTGTCCGAAATATGAATTTCTTCAATCTACTCAGACCAAATGGTTACCATAATGTTTCCGACATTTAAGAAGCTTGAGAAGAGGACAGAGTAATGAAATAATATGATTTGGATATTCGCGATTCAGTTTGTCCTGCAGATTCCGAAGAGAGAGCTGCTGAAAGAAATTAATTATCAATGAATGACATTGAAAATAATGTGCACTATGCAAACAGAAAACCAATCACATTTTGTCACGGATGAAACAGATCGATCAGCTCTCCTTCACCTGAGCATTTAATGTTCAACTTTTTCATAATCTATATATACGAGGGGTGTTCAATGTATACCAGGACTTTTATTTATACAAGGCAGAGTATCGTATGTAGATTAATAATTTTGTGAGGAATTTGTCTTCAGAGTGTTGTTAACCCACAATCGCATTTCCTGCTTCCATGCATGTGCTGAAAATCAAGATGGCGCCAGTTGATGTAAAAGACAAGATGGAACAGCGCAAAATCATGAAATTTCTGGCCAACGAATACATCCAACCTTTTGAAATTCAGAAAATTGCCTGCACAGAATGGTGATGACTGCCTGTGAAGTATTTGACTAGTGGAAATAATTTAAACATGGGTGTGAACGCGTGCAGAATTAAGCACATGCTGCAAGACCAGCCACTTCATTCAACAACGCGAACATAAAGCGACTTGGAGAGACTTGAGGATCTCATTTTGGCTGACGGAAGAGTTTCTTCTTACAGGCAATCATCACCACACTGTTTAGACAATCGTCTGTAAATTGAAAAGATTTGATGTTCTGGTTGGCCAGAAAAATCATGATGCGTTGTTCCACCTTTGTTACCTCAACTGCCGTCCTCTGGATTTTCAGCACATATATTGAAGCACGAAACACGTAATTCTTAGTATGGGTTACCAACACTATGAAGACAAATTCTTCAAAAGAAGTTATGAATCTACATACATTACTTCGATGTTTATATGCAAAAGTCTTGGTCAAATTTGAACCACCATCGTATTCGCAGTCCCACTTTCTTTGTGACCTCACCTGCCACCATCTTGATTTTCAGCACATTTATTAAAGCAGGAAACACGCGATTGTGGGTATGGGTTAACAACACTTTTAAGACAAATTCCTCCCAAAGTTATTAATCTACATACCTCACTGACATGTATAAACAAAAGTCCTGGTATACACTCCGGGGGTGTCTGGGATAGCATTGAGAGGAACAATTCACTCCTGGATTTGGTGGTGCAGTGCAGTGTCCCTGCAAGACGTACAGGGAACCTATAGGCCCCATACGGATCCGTTTGGGACCTATATGGTTCCCTATAGAACCTATAAGGTTACCTATAGGGCCTACAGAGTTCCCTATGGGACCTATAGGGTTCCCTATGGACCAAGGGTTCTGTATAGGACCCGTAGGGCTGCCTATGAAACCTAAAGTGTTCTACATGGGGCCTATAGGGTTCTTATAGGACCTTTAGGGTTCCGTTTGAAGTTCTCCTGTAGGCCACTAAATAGAGGTGTGTGGTTCTCGCATTTCTCACAGTTCCAAAAAGTGCCCTCTCCTTATCCATGGAATCATCTCTCACAGGAAAATTGTGTACATCCCCATATATCTCGCTTTACCACATTGTAACAACAAATAAACTTCGACATTTCCTGATTTGTCATTCCCATATTCCAGATAGAATCGTCTAGTCCACGCCAGAAATATGCTCATATTCCCCATGAGAATCACGTGCGAGAAAAAGTTAATTCCATGCGACAGGAATTTCAGTAAAGAGGTGGGGTTCGCAGGTTCTGTCTGCCACTTCATTAGGCCGAGGGAAGAATGATTCTCCTCTCTACCAAATCAGATGCATGCGCATTCCAGCGACACAAGTGGGCCTGGACAGTAAATTATGCAGGCCTAGGCAGTAATAGTATCAGAAAGGCAACTGCCCAACCACGGGAAAACCCCTAGTCGTTAATTAATTTGCGCCATTATTAATCCCGGTGGCCATCCGCGTTGTAATGCCACGGTTTCGAAACCCAGAAAGCCTCCCCGAATCCTATAGGTCAGGTGTCTTATATGACTCTATAGGGATCCTATAGGTTGTTCATGTTTCAAAAGCCTATAGGAAAATTAATAGGTTTCCTATGGTCCGGTGATGGTTATAGGCTAGATGGCGTTTCAAAATTCGGACCCCCCCCGGTACCTTATTTTGCGCAATTTATCCGATTTACTACTACATACCCCCAAAGAAGTCCACATTTGTGGGGGATAACTGAAGTACAACGTTTTGGAGGGACCCAATGATACTAAATAAAAATTTTGTTGCACCTCGCTAGTGAAAATATTAATACATAATAAAGCATCCGAAGACCATGATAGATTGCCAGCAGCATACAAAACGAAGGATAGGTTTTAAAATGTGTAGGCTTCCATTAAATAGTCCAAAAGTAAGGAAACCTATTTGAAAGTAGCACTGGGAGATATTGACTAACACTGAAAATCAGTAGTTAGACATTTTACTTCATTTGCCCTCACCGAAATGCTTCGAGAAACTCGAAATAAGGCCATCATCATTTAATGTCACTCGCCCTCACGGAAATATAACAGAAAAACTACAAGATAGAACCTCAAAGCCCTGAATAGAATGGAAAAAACCTTTGCATACTGATTTCCACGCTGTTTGACATCTGTGATTGTTCCGTTGCAGGAAAACCGAACGGGAACTTTCACAAAGCTTCTAACGGATGTAACAAATTACTCTTTGCGTTTGTCGGACAAGCTCATGACTGAATTCCAAGAGGAGCTGAAGTTCACGGATGCGAAATCTACGTTCCTCATCGAATTATACAGGCAAATGAAGGGGCCAGGGGCCCCTACGCTCAAATTTCCCAGGAGCGAGAGCAAGACCTATTTAAATCTGCCCAGAACCTTCGAGAGCGAGCTGATCGGGGACGGATATTCTTACGTCGGAGTGTTGTATCACGTGCGTAATATAAATGAGCTCATGCCCGGAAGGCAGAACGTGTAAGCAGTCGTTTTTTGGATCGAGCGGTCCCATTCGATCTCTTCGATTTGACAGTGATTCGTGTGTAGGTTAGGAGAAAAGAAGACGGTCAATTCGAAACTTTTGAGCTTCGCGATTAAAGCGAGTGAGACGTTCCACCTGACGGATCCTGTCACTCTTGTGATGGAGAATCTGGATCCACCCCAGGACCCTCCGTATAAGGAAATTTGGCGAGATCTTCATGAAGGGGAACAACCGACGATCGTTCCCCAGAGTCACCGTTGTAGTTTCTGGAACTTCTCTGAACTGTGAGCTTGCACAGTGTAGGAAGGCACCAAAAATACAAAAACATCGCCGGGATTTGCACGATCACTGAGATGTTGATTTGATGTTGCAGGGGTCGCTGGGACATGGAAGACTGTCGAGAGGTGTCATCTGACAGGCATCAGACAGTGTGTGAATGCAGCCATCTGACCAATTTTGGAGTCCTCATGGATCTACATGGATACGTCGTGAGTCAGAAAACATTACTTCTGAACACCTCCTAGTAAATAATCTAATAGTTTAATTCGAAGAACCCGAAAGTTGTGGTGGTGGCTGTCACCCTAAGGCGCGAGCCCTATAGGACTATCATTTTAGGCCATGGGCTCGGCCATCCACTGCTCAAAGCGCCAGGTCCATGAAAATAAGGCTATGCTATTCTAGGCCATCGACTTCGCCATCTAACACTCTTAGCACTAGGTTCAAAGGGCTATGGCAGTCTGCGCCATAAGCGTTGACTCATATTATTACTGTATTTCCATAGGCTTCATACTTAGTTGTGTCAATCGAAGGGTGCTACTAACTGAATGTGTCACGTGTTCACTGATTGACTGCAAGTTCTCCATTTGAATACATTCTTTGTTCAAGTGTTTTATCTGTATGTATTTTTTTTCGTTAGGTCGGGCGTGGCGGTTCACGCCATCGCTTCCATGCAATACTTTTCTTTTTGCGTTTCATGTCATGGCCGATTTACTTGAGTTCTCATGATGGATGAAGTCAAAATAATGACATAAGTTTTTTGTTTCATATGTCGCGTAAACTCTCCTGTCGCTCCTCCCATCAAAATAGTGGCGCTTTTTGCGAGATGAGGTCGAACGCGAATAAAAAGGAGGTCCCATAGGACGGCGATGAGGCAGTCGCTGCAGATAAAAAACGATTGGTGTTGGCGCGGATAACAGCGAAGTGTCTAAATCGGTGCTTTAGGAGGTGCTAGCCGCAATGGCTAGAATGAGTGATGAACAGTACGCATCTGTACGTAGGGAGCGTACGGCCGCTCAGACCGCTGAACAGCAAGAGTCAGCGAAGGCTTAACTCAGGAATATGTGATCCGTGCAGCCTGCTGAGCAACATGATGCAAGGAACGGGAGACTCAGGTGTCAAAAGCCGGGCGGGCGGCTGGGAATTGAACCCGGATATTCTGCTTGCCAGTCAGGTGGGCTACCATTACACCACGGAACTCGGGATCTTTTGTCATGCCTCTCCATGTCATCTCAATAACTGCAGTCGTTTGCCACAGCGAGCGCTGTCAGGCTGTAATTTTGCTGTAGGGAGGGGGCATTTGTTTCACATTGCTGCCACAACGGAAAAGTGCTACTGCTGCAACTCACACTTTACCCTGAAGCTCTGAAAGTGTTGCTCTTTGGCGCTAATGTGGAGGCGAGGCATTTTCAGGAATTATTCTTTAGTATTGTGCCGCACATGCGCTAACTTCCTTCGGTGCTAAAGTCGAACAAGTTCTTGGAAATGGCCTGTACTGTTTCAGAATCAGTGGTATTTGTACCAGAAGCTAATGCTAATAGCCCATGAGATAATCGGAGATGCAAGAATATTGAATGTGCTGGGACAACGAAACCAGCAAAGATGTCTTGAGTCTCACGAAAACCTGCTAAACCGTGGTGTTCACAATGGCGATTGTGGCAATGAGCTCGAATATCATGGTGATGGTGTTCCGGAACAAAATCTGCCTGTGTACTGTAAGATGTATGTGCATAAATCCAAAGAAGCGGTTCATTTCCGAATAGGTAACGCGATGAACCGAGGAAGAACGTCACAGGGAAAGAACGTCAAGGAGACGTACCCCATACGGAAATGTCCTATAGGAAACCTATAGAATTTCCTATTGATTTTTCAAACACGAAAAACCTATTGGATCCTTTAGAATCTCTGTTCATCGCATTACCCATTCGGAACTGAACTCCTTCATTACATTTATATACATATAGCTTACAGTACACAGGGATATTCTGCTCCTAAACACCATCATCATGACATTCAAGCTGATTGTCATAATCGCCATTGTGAACGCCTCGGTTTAGCACCTTTTCATGAGAGTTTACGCGACATATGAAACAAAAAACTTATNTTCCGTTGCAGGAAAACCGAACGGGAACTTTCACAAAGCTTCTAACGAATGTAACAAATTACTCTTTGCGTTTGTCGGACACGCTCATGACTGAATTCCAAGAGGAGCTGAAGTTCACGGATGCGAAATCTACGTTCCTCATCGAATTATACTGGCAAAAAAAGGGGCCAGGGGCCCCTACGCTCAAATTTCCCAGGAGCGAGAGCAAGACCTATTTAAATTTGCCCAGAACCTTCGAGAGCGAGCTGGTCGGAGACGGATATTCTTACATCGGACTGTTATTTCACGTGCGTAATATAAAGGAGCTCATGCCCGGAAGGCAGAACGTGTAAGCAGTCGTTTTTTGGATCGAGCGGTACCAGTCGATCTCTTCGATTTGACAGTGATTCGTGTGTAGGTTAGGAGAAGAGAAGACGGTCAATTCGAAACTTTTGAGCCTCGCGATTAAAGCGAGTGAGACGTTCCACTTGACGGATCCTGTCACTCTCGTGATGGAGAATCTGGATCCACCCCAAGACCCTCCGTATAAAGAAATTTGGCGAGATCTTCATGAAGGGGAACACCCGACGATCGTTCCCCAAAGTCACCGTTGTAGTTTCTGGAACTTCTCTGAACTGTGAGCTTGCACAGTGTAGGAAGGTACCAAAAATACAAAAACATCGCCGGGACTTGCACGATCACTGAGATGTTGATGGGATGTTGCAGGGGTCGCTGGGACATGGCAGACTGTCGGGAGGTGTCATCTGAAAGGCATCTGACAGTGTGTGAATGCAGCCATCTGACCAATTTTGGAGTCCTCATGGACCTACATGGATACGTCGTGAGTCAGAAAACATTACTTCTGAACATCTCCTTGTAAATAATAATCATCCTATACTTTAATTCGAAGAGCCCGAGAGTTGTGGTGGTGGTGGTTGTCACCCCGGCGCGCGAGGCCTACAGCACAGTCACTTTAGGCCATTCACCTCTCAAAGCGCCAGGTCCTTCAGGCTATGTTACTCTAGGTCATAGGCTTGGCCATCCAACGCTTTACAGGCATTACGACGGAAAAGGCGACCGGGGTTAATATTGGGAGGCAGTCATTCACCCCCCCCCCCCGACCCGTCACTGGCTGGCCATGTGAGAAGACGGCGCGGCAAAAATACCCCTAATTTGTCGAAGGTCTGCCACTGCGCTTCGTTAACCGCCATGGCCAAGGCATGGCAAATGGGGAGCGAAGACGAAGGGCATTCCGTAGATCCAGATATTGCCTTAAAGCATCGCTTTTTAGGACAATTTAATATGTGGCCTATTATTGCCGGCCTCAAGCTACTCTGCGGAAATCGCAACACGCCGCGCACGTTTTCGAACGTTAGTGGCGTTTGCACACACAACATATACCTATTAATACGGCTATGGGAGAGCACACGCAATCGCGTTGTGCTCCCGCGTGTGTCATGAGTGCCCGCGCATGCTTCCCGCCCTCGATATCACCACGGACAACAGGAGATTTTATTTTATAGATTTACTACCTACCAGAAAAAGGAATTCCGCATGAAGACATGATCCGAGCCGTCGATACGATTTCTCCTTCAGCCTTGAAGAGTTCCGAAAACAGGTGAATTAAGTGGGTTTTCCTCGAAACGGTAACTTAAAATGGTTGAACATCCCTTGCAGAGGTCATATTTATATATAGGTTGTTTATTATGTGCACAGCGTATCGACTGGGAAACAAGGTCACATTAAGAATGCAGTTTACTACCTACCACATTTTATAATAGTAGACTACCGCGTCGGGCAACACTGACAAGTCGAACTCACACAGTGGATCTACCAAACCGGACTTCACAGTGGCGCCGAGCGCTCCCGAAGGGTTACGAACTTCGAAACGCCAGAAATTAAGCTCTTTCCTGCTCGGTATCAGGCCGAATTTTGGAGATTCGACGGGTGTGTAGCATGCTTTAGCAATGACTTTGACACTGCCTTGCTTAGCGTATGGAATGCTGCTTTGTCAAACGCATCTTTATTCCCAACCGAATGCCGAACGTAGCAAATAGAATGTCAAGTTTACTCAATTGGAAATTGGAAATTATTTTCATTTGATTTATTTGGAAGTTATTTAATTATTTTTAACAGGAAAATCCCAAGCATTGATAACAATGATAACAATATATTGCAACGCCTTCACAGAGTCGGCCAGTCGAAATTTAAGGGATCTCCTCCAAAAATGGACTGCGGCCAAAATTGCAACAGAAATTCGGGTGTAAACCTACCTACCAAAATCAGTAGGGTAGGGCCGAATTTGAATTCTTCCCGGTTGTCATCGAGGAAATCAACAGGGTGGTGCTGGAAATGAACGACTTTCTTCTCTTTCCCTTTCAGCGATCACTTTTTTGAGCCACCCTATAGATTAAGTATTAATAGCTGAAATTACATTGGTTCGTTTCAGGGCCGTGGCGTGGCGCTGGAAGTGCTCACCATCGTTTTGTCTTCCTTCTCCATAATCGGACTAGTTCTTACATTGATAATGTATCAAATTAACAAGTGAGTTTCCCAATTTAATTTAGAATTTTCTGATTTTTGTGTATTTTCTTCAACCTGGAGGCTTAATATTTTCCAGAACTGGAAATCAAACATCAATTAAGCTGAACAAACAGTTGTGCATTTGCCTCTTATTAGGCCACATTTTTCTCCTTCTGCTCATCGACCGGAAAATCTTCAATCAATCTCAGGTGAGAATATGAATTTCCTTGAATATAACCCGACCTTAAATGTCATCCTAGGAATGCATTTACTCATTTTGATTTACATTTTATTTTTAAATGTTGAATTCATGTGACAAAACATGATTGTTTAAGGAACACATTCAGAAATCGGTGGGCTCATTGCTGACTTTCCTGAATATTCAGTTGCTGGAAATGGGGCTAAAGCTTCGTCACTGTATCTAAATGTTACCTTCGTGTAATTTTTTAGCGAAATGAGAAAAAGTCAAAGGAGAACTTACGCACCTTGCTTAAATCCCTCTTGAATTACGACCGTAATCAGATTTTCTTGACCCAAAGCTAAGTTAAGCCTTTTTCACAGTGTTAGGAATGTCATCACCTGACACTCCTGCCTTTAACTCTCAGCGTACCATAGGTGCAACTATTTATTCGACTTGAGAATGGTATTTCAGATTTTTATCCTAGCTTAAACGCCTCTCATATTATGCAGGTTGGCTGTGCAATCTCAGGGGTGTTCCTTCACTTCGTATTCCTCAGTGCCTTCATGTGGATTGCCTTGGAGGGCCTCTTCATCTATCGCCAACTTGTTCTGGTATTGCCAACCGGCTCCAACATATCCACTCGAGCGTACTTCATCATCGGCTACGCTGTTCCCTCTGTGATCGTCGGCATCACCGCTGCTGTGTCCTTCGGCACTAATACATATGGATACGGTGCAGGAGAATAGTGAGATCTTGTTCCGTGCTCATGGCTCAAAATAGCCGATTTCAGGACTGGAAATTCTCTGGTTTATCGGAAGGATTACCATACCTTAAAAATACTTTTAAATTGGTTTTCCCAAGCACCATGAAAATAAAGTAAGAAACAGAACGGTGGTGCCTGGAGTCGATGCATATTTATATTGAAAATCATCGTAGATGCCTGAAATATCGCTATCACCAGTTTCGCCACACAAGTCTTTGAGTTAAAGGTTAGACATAGAATCGATGTTAAATACGGAATTTCCAATATACCTGCGTATTTGCATTTTGATCGATTGCATTGTTTCACTTGACCATTTTTTCGATGTCACGAGGACAAGTTATATCCCATCCTTTTATATATTGATTTTAGTAGTATTATATCAATATTTGAATTTCTCAGCTGTTGGTTGTCATCGCCTCAGTACATCTGGACTTTCGCTGGCCCAGTCCTGGTCATTATTCTTCTAAACGCTGTTTTAATGTTTCTGACGATTCGGAACATCAGTCAGAGTGGGAATATCGGCCGTTCGAGCGGGAAAAACGACGTGTGAGTTTGGATTCGACTTTGGGAGAAGTGTAGGGTGGATTTTTGAATAGAGCACTATCCGATAATATAGGTTTATTTACCGGATTTATAATGCATTTCCTTTGAAATAAAGCTGCATTATCGGATAGTACTCCTTTAAAAAATCCACCCTTTATCTTCGACTTTAAATGGCTTCAAATCTTGACCTTGGAAATTATTGAACCTCTCTAGGTTCTTCGTTTGGACGACGGCGTCCCTGTCATACTTATTGGGCATCGGTTGGATCTTCGGGTTCTTCTACATGCAAGTCACGCCTGTCTTCATCTACCTATTCACGATCGTCAATGGCTCTCAGGTAACGTGGAAGATGATCGCATTTATCTATATCTTAATTCATCAT